AAGAAATGGGTAAATGTAATCAATGGATGAATTATAAAATCTAATAGTATGTTTATCTCGTGATATGATGAAGCATGAGGCATTATACGGTGTAGTAGTTTAACATTACGCTTTTGCAGGTGCTTAAATCTTCGTTAGTAAAAACCGAATAAAAAGCAAATTTTAATAACCCAGCCATCCCATAATCATCAGATACTAGCCTTCCTTTATCATCCCTCAAGAGTCCTACCCCCATCCTAACATTTTGTTTACCCTTAATGTATTTAAAGAAATTCTTATTGTTAATTTTTACATTTTCAGCCAATCTTTTCTGATACATCTTTTTTATGTCTTAATTTCCTATTTAACCAAGTTTCTTGATCTTCTATAAATTTTAAAATCTTTTGTCATAACAGTCAATTTAAATTTCTTAAACTGGTGGTGCTTTTCTTTAATTTTATCTCTTAAACTCTTTGTTACCCAACCTGGTTTACTTCTTGCAGCTATCCTTTTCTTTCTGTAGGGAATATGTCTACATTGAATATTTAAAAATTTATCTTTACAAATTTTTCACATCTGTTCAGTGTCTCCAAATAACTCAGTTGCCCAACACTGGGATTTAATTCTCATTACTCAAATACCTGCAAAACCGGAAGAGAAGCGAGGAACACTAGGAAGTATAAAAACTTCATGAAATTTATTAAAATATAAAACTGTTTAAATTGAAAAAAAAAGCATCGCTCTGGCATTTTACAAAAACATTTACCTGGAAGACTCTAAACGAGTTGAAAACATACATAAAATAGGGTTAATAGGTGTCCCATGATCCCATGTATACTGAGTGATCTCTATCCTTAATATCCCTTTATTTTCCAAAGGAAATTGCCTGATACCAATTTCTATTGTAACAAGAATTTGCGAAAAACGGTGCGGATAATCTTAGACCACAGATCTAGAAACTATATTCCACAGACTCACTATACGTCTCGATGTCGGTTTCAAAAACATGTTTAGGTCAGAGACACAGATGTTTATTAGGGGGTATATGGAGGGCGACTTGATGGGTATGTGGAATAATTGTGATTCCAGTTTTTCTTTGGACGGTTGCTCTCATGAAAACAGTAGATGATATGAAGGTGTGGCTGGAAGAATGTGGGTATTTGTCATATTCAAATCATCGTTTGTTTGTTTTATCTTGTTAGTGACACCAAAAGATAGTCCTCGTTTTATTGTAATGCGTTTTTGGGTCGCAGGTTCTCTTTCGTACCATAGCCTTCACTAGATGGAAGAGGGCGTTGCTTCGTTTGGAATAAGGTGTGGTTTCAGACCCTACTCTACAGGCTCTACTGTGTGAGTTTTCTCGATTCCATTGGAAACATCATTGGCTTTCTTCTTCAAAATATTGGTCCTTTGGCCCTACAGCTTTTAACAATACTGCTATGCAAATATTTCTCCAAACAAACGTCTACCCGTAGCGTCGTTACACTGTTAAGTGGTCACGAATTTGCCAAGAATAAAAAGTATAGGCACTAAGCATGTCGCCGGTAGCAAAACAGCTCGCATTTGCGACGACAAGCTTCTGTGTTATAATTTATAAATCATACATATGAAATGCAATTAACCTTCTGCAAGTGCACGAACTTAAAAACATTAGACTAATGAAAATATATTAGAAACATCAAAAGAAAACTTTTTATCCTTTATAATAGATCGGCTTCTTTCATGCAGTTACACGCAGTTTATACCAAAATATAGTTCTCCACAAAAATCAGAAGTTACAGTTTAATAAGGTGTTATAATAGAATGGTTATATTCCGTCAGAAGTTACAGTTTAATAAGGTGTTATAATAGAATGGTTATATTCCGTCAGAAGTTACAGTTTAATAAGGTGTTATAATAGGATGTTTATATTCCGTCAGAAGTTACAGTTTAATAAGGTGTTATACTAGAATGGTTATATTCCGTCAGAAGTTACAGTTTAATAAGGTGTTATAATAGAATGGTTATATTCCGTCAGAAGTTACAGTTTAATAAGGTGTTATAATAGAATGGTTATATTCCGTCAGAAGTTACAGTTTAATAAGGTGTTATAATAGAATGGTTATATTCCGTCAGAAGTTACAGTTTAATAAGGTGTTATAATAGAATGGTTATATTCCGTCAGAAGTTACAGTTTAATAAGGTGTTATAGTAGAATGTTTATATTCCGTCAGAAGTTACAGTTTAATAAGGTGTTATAATAGAATGGTTATATTCCGAGACATTCAATATTCTGATACACATTAGACAAATAGAGAGCTTCCAACATTATGTATCAAATCACCCTAAGTCACGTCCAGCTCTGGCACACATCAGAAAAACATCGGAAATGCAGTTTGTTAATATGGACTCAGAACTTGATTTAATTTTAATTTATTTCTATAAGAACAGAAATAGTTGTGATGTAGTTACCGTAAATAAAGTAAGGTTGTGGTATAGTTACCGTAAATAAAGTAGTGTTGTGGTGTAGTTACCGTAAATAAAGTAGTGTTGTGGTGTAGTTACCGTAGTCTGAGATTGATTTACGTCTTGTTATAATGTGGGTATTTCCGAAAAAGCAACAACAAAAAACAACAGATGGCTTCAGACACGCTTTATGTTATGTATTTCTATCCAGGTAGAGTATGGGAAAAGCTAACTTTGATGACACCTCCTTAGTATATAAGGGATTTATCAGGTAATGTTTGAAGCACTACACTGACATTTTGTCACCTACGTGTAGCAGAGAAGTTATGAAAATGTTACTGGATAAAGAAAAGGTTAAGTGAAAAAGATAACGTGAAACTGTCCTTTTTGTGCGTTTACTAACCCGTTTATAGTCACTGTTGTGTTACAACATATTCAATATACTATTCTGTATGTATATATATATATATATACATGAT